TTTTGGAATGTGATGACTCTCGATTATTTAGGAAGAAGTTAATCCAATAAAACATATAACAGTATGGCTATAAAAACGGATTTAAAACATTTGTAAAAAAAATTGATCAAATATTTTTAAACAATTCTACATTTCCAAGTATTTATTTACAAACTTTTTGGCACACTTTCATTACTTTGGCTCCAACAAAGAAATTTAATCACCTCTCTTGAATTCCAGGATTTCAAAGTACTTTTATCTCAACTTATCAAGTATCTTACCAATATTACATTGCTTCTTTTATTTTACAATTTTCAATTTATTTGCAATATTTAAAAACTGCACCAAAATATGTGAGAAGAGCATAAAATATTTAGAATAACTTTTAACAGCATCTCATCTTCAAATTCCAATTCAAGTCGTTACTCAACCCAATCCCACCAAGAAATCAACTTAAACTCAAACTCAAGTCCAAACCAAACCAAAACTGAACTAAAGTCAAACACTAAAAACACAGCAAATTGAATTTTCACAGCAAGTTTGACGTAACAACAACGTAATGGAGTAACGTAATTTCTTCACGTTAGAACATAACGAGCTGAGCTCGAAACAAAGTGACATGCGAAGGATATCTTATTTTGTTTAAATGTTTCCGATTTGACGATGTTTTCTTCTTCTTCTACAACCGAGAAAGGAACGTGGTATGATTTTTGTCGTAGCAAAGTTTATATTGGAAAATGGATTGTGGTATTCTGCGGGGAGATGGAAGGCGGAATGCAGTCAGTGTAATAGGTTGCAACTTGTATCTTGTTTTCTACTTCGTTCCATAGTTGACTGAGTCGTCCTGTGGGAGCAACACTCCTACAAGGCGTGGATGTGTAAATGGTTGTTTGCGTGCTTCCTGCTTCCTGTAAGCTGCATTGCACACGCATTACTTTTGTGGCAGCTACTTTGGCTTTTATTTTGCTCAGCTTGTTGCTCGTAAACTTTAAGTGAAAAGTATCCGAAATCGCTTGACAGACCCGGAGTCGGAGTCGGGCTCCGCTTTTTTAGTTTCTCCCATAGTTTGCCTTCTTGTAATACTTTTATCGAAAAGTTTTTGATGCCAAAGTTATGTTAGTTTAAGCAAGTGACGAAATTTATGCAGCCGAAGATTTGCTTTCGTTTGGAATTTAAAATTTGTTACCCTTTTGTTTTCTGTGTTAAATGAGATTCAAGTGCATTTCGGTGTATTTGAAGTGCAACAATTTTTCTGCTTTTTGTTTTTGTTTTTTATTTTTGTTGACCAAAAGTTTTAATAAGTTTTCCAGTCTTTATCCGAATGATGCAGGTTAAGTTTCTGAACTTTTATAGAAACGTGAGGAAATTCATATTTAAAAAGTATCTACAATATAAAAATCAGACCACGCAAGTCATTATTATTTAAGTTCAATGGAATAAAATCAGTTGAAGGACTCAACTTTAAAATATTATAGAATAAAACAAAAACCATGGCAACAAATTCTGTGGGCATTGTTTTCTCAGCTGTTTTATGTAGCACAACTATTTATATTTGAAATAATAAACAATATTAGTTATAAATATAAGCATATATTTACGATTTCTTGGTGCTGTTAGCTGACACGTTTTGCGTTATTGTTGCTATAAACTAATTAGCTCACCTTAACGAATATTCGTCTATTAAACTGAAGATTGACTGCACACGTATTTTTTGTTGATGATTATTTCGTTCTATATAGTAATTCAGTTTATTAGAGTAATTCACTTTAGAGTTTTGAAACAATCATCACTCGTATAGAGAGGAAGCGCCTTTAGTTTTCTCACTGTAACTCCAGAATTAATTTAAAATATGTAAAGTCTGTTATAATTTGGACCCATATTTAAGTCTTTAACTATCACGGCATAATATAATAAAATAAAAGTAAATAATTAATAAATATTTTTATATGGTACCTCTGACAGGATTTAATAATTCTGACGATAAACTTTGATAGTTCGCTAAATGCTACGAATATTGAAAAACATCGGTTTTTTCGAAATTATTAGACCCCGGCAACAGTGAAGTAGAAAAATTTATTAATACCTCTTTGATCCACAAAACTGTTCTATAGAAAAACCCAACTGGCAAATTTTCCATCTGATATTTGTAAAGCACTTTTATTTGATTCTTTTAACGATACTTTTATTTTATGGTTAGCCGAAAATTCAATTTTTTAATAAAATAATAAAATTTTATTGTTGTAATTTAATACTGAACGAAATGTCTCTCTATTGAAAACAGTAGATTATATTAAGTATTAAGTTTCTTTCGTCAAAACGGACGTTAAAAATCCACTGACGAGAATCGAGATATGTATTGAATAACCAGAACGAGTAACAGGTCATGTCTTAATACTTTTTGTAAATTAAAAATTAAAATTAAAAATTAATCATAATGGATTAACCAAAGTATCCGTCCTAGTTACTAATTGGCATTTGACTCAGCTGCAGTTCTTCTGAATCATATTACGAATAATATTCACCTATATGTTTTTCTTCTGTATTCCAAAATTTTAAATTCTGGAATAGATAAATTTCAATTATAATTAATTGTTCTAAGTTACATCACTTTTACACTTTTAGTTAATTCTCATTTATCTTAATTTTTGGAATTAAAATAGAAAAATTCTAGCCATCAATACGCAGTGACTGGAAGTTTGAACGAATACTAGACCTTCATTCTTCTTCATGTTTAAGCAAGAAACTATCTTTTAACAACTTTTTAGTACTTTTATTAAAGTTTATTCTTTCGTTGCCTATGATGATTACTTTTCTTGTTTTTAGTATTAATCAATCATCAAATTTTTCCCGTTCTACAAGTGCAGCAGTAAATAATGAATGAAGGAAGGAAAATTTCCAGCCCAGATTATGAACGGTAAATAATGATGGTGAGAAGTTGGCAAAATAAGAAAAATGAAAAACGGAAAAAAATTTAAACTGAAGTAATGAAACAACGATTAAAGCATAAAATAATTTACTTGATTGCATAATAAAACAATAAAAATTCTCGTAATTATTACCACTGAAATTAAAAAGACAGAGATGTTAACTCAAGTAAATTAAAAGAAAAAATCATTATGCAAAGCACTTACAACACTAAAAAGGAGTGTTGGATATGCAGAAAAGTTTTACTTGTTTGGACAGAAGTAGTGCAATAGAAACTAATTAAAAACTCAATGCCAATATTGAGGAAAATTCAATAAAAGCAATGCATATTCCAAAACGAATTACTGGTTTGGTAACAGCCAACAGACAATGTGCAGTTACCAGGAAGTGAGGATACCAGCATGGCAAACTGCAAGCGCAGGACATGTTTGACTTGAAATTTTGGGACGGGCAATTAAATATTAGCATAAAATATTAAAACATTTGCTCGATCCTTCCACAGAAGTGCTTCTTCTATTGGAAAATGTTAGGTAAATATTCTAATTGCATGCAGAGACTATTAGTATGAGTGTGAAGCAAATATTACCAGGGTAAAATCAGGATAGAAGGAAGACAGTGAAAATATTTACTGTTGAATGCTGTCAGCTATAATCACGTTTGACTGTTTTAAATTATATTTTAAAGAATATTTTATATTGATCAAATTGAAAGAAATGTTAATGATGTGAAACCCATATCATCATTCACTTTTATTAAAAAGTAATGAATCATTTAATACTTGTTACAACTGTTTGACAAAGATGATAGAAGAAAGATGTTCACACTCCTGCTTTAAAAAACTGCACCTGACGCATTTGAAGTAAATCAAATATTTGACTATATCCAATAAAAAAGTTTTTTCTAAACATCAGACAGATGCGAATAGCAACCCGTACGAGCAAGAATACAAACTCAGAGGTAAATAAAAATACATGACCTATACCTGAAAGTTGATCAATGATATATAAGATATGCGTATTGTAGAAACCAATATTTAATATTTATTTAAATTAACGAAACTGCAAAATTCATTTAATATGGACGTACGCATTTGAGCTTAATTCACATATAATCATATTTTTATTAAAAGATGTATTATTTATTAAAAAAAATAATTTCCTACGTTTATGAGCAATTATTTTGGATTTAGTTGAACGTATAATTTACCAAAAGGGCAACTACCTTGCCTTTATAGAATTGTTGTATAAAAATGATACATGGTGTATATAAAATTCATAGTAGAAGACAGTTGAAACAGTATAAACATGTACCAAACGTTAGACAATTTTTTTCTGAAAATGTCAAGAGAAGTTTCTTATAAATATGATAAAAAAAACTACCAAAATAACTCAAATTTCCATCTATTTAATTCCGTAAGATAATTTCATAGAATTTCAATTTAAATACAAAAGACTAGCAAGAATTATTAAATTTAAAACTGGTATTTAGTCTAAACTTTTCAGTTTATCTCAAAAGCTATTAACGAATTATGTTTAAAATCTAAATACAGTTTCTTTGGGATCCAGTCGTCTATTGTTACAAGTAAAAAAAATTTATCTTCCAATAAGATATAATTTTGTTTTTTACATCAAAGATTGTAATAACACAACGAATGTACTTCTTAGGTACTAAGTGACCACAGCTGCTATGATTTTAATTTATGTAGCAAGGACTATCAGTTTATCTATTTCAACACATTATCTTCTGGATTTTAATTTATTTAGCAAGGAAACATCCTTGGGTATTACATATGTATGTATCATTTTCTATATAGCTAAATATATTTTAATGATATTTCTTTTTAACGAAAGATGTTTCTATAACTTCAATCCCGAAAAAGTTTTTCAATCTGAGCTTACAAAGCTTTAATAACCCAGCTTAGCTTTCGTCAAGGATTGCAGTTTTGAAGTTAGAAAAAAAGTTAAAAAGTTAAAAGCAGGAGAATAAAGTATGGTACAATGTTTTAAGTTTTAAAGAATATCGTTCTGTATAAGTTTATAAGTTTACACAGACGTAATAATATGTAAAACATTTGATATTAAAATTTCTGTACTTACCTTTAGAAATAATTTTTATAATAACTTTTAAAATTATGACTGTTTTCGACGGAGAAGCAGAGACAGCGTCAACAATATCATGGCAATCAAGCATTTCAAGATACATGGCCTTGCCGCTAAGCTATTTTTTCTGACATTTTTGCCTGAGTATAAAAGCTACTGCTACATTGACAGCTTTATCATCATCAGCAGCAGTAGCAGAAGTGAGAGAGCATAGTTGTATGCGTGTGTGTATGTGTGAGTGGTAAAAATTATTATCGCCAGTGACAATATTGTGCCCGTCACTCACTGTTGTAGGCATTGTTTGCTGGCATTCTTCTTGAGTTTGTAGTTGGCGCTGTCGTCGTCGTTGTTGTTGTTGTTGTAGTTGTTGTTCTGTTGTCACAAAGCCTTGCTATGCACAATTAATTCTTCTTCAAACATTAGTATAGCCTTTTGCAACTCAAGCACGCTTCCTTTTCATACAATTTTTTGTGTTAGCTACTTTCCTTGCATTTCTCTGCATTTCTTTCATGTGTTCTTTGTTTTTCGGTCTCGTTGAAGTGTAGCTACTTTCTGCATTGAGAACTGTTGTCTTTCACAATTTCTTAACTGTTGTTTTGGGTTGCCTTTTGTATGTGCTAAGCTTGCTCCATTGCACTTAAGCCGTTTCCGCAACTTTACATTTATTAGGAACTTGGTATGTTGACTGTTGGCTGTTGGCAGATGGTAGATGGTAGATGGCTGTTGGTACTTATGTGTCTCGCACTTCTGCCCTGACAAGGAGACAGATTTTATGCTTTTTTCCACTTTTCGTTTCGCTTTTTTTTGCTGCCTTTGGATTATTTGCGAGTTTGTCATTTAGTGGCTTTGTTACTTTTGTCTGTATTTAAGCCTTCTTTTTTGCTTGCTTAGTGGCTCGTTCCGTTCCATACTGACGCTACCCCAGCGTTAAGGTCTTAACAAGACTATTCATGACTTGACTTAAGGATTATGTATGTATGAGCCTGTTGAAGTGTTCTAGCTGAACATTGGTGTTGCTTGGGCCATGTTAGTGGTGGTTGTAAGGGCTCTAGTACTCTGCATTCAAGTGGGCAAATGTCGCTTCCTTGAAATGTTTGTGCTGTGGATTTGATTTTTAATGTTTGACATTTTTCTTCTTGCAATTTTGTCAACTTTCCACTTTTGTCTATCTCCAATCCATTCTCTTTCCACCAATCTAACAATCCAACGATCCACCACTCTGCTATAATTGCGCTTGCACTGCTGAGGATTTGTTGTCGACTAAACAAACGTGTAACTCAATGTTATGTAGCACATATCCACTTGTAAACTCAACATTATCATCTTTGGGGAAATCTAGCTATTTGGTTTGTTGATTTTACTTTTGGTTTCAATTTATCGGATTTTCTTGGCTTTAGCATTTTTATGGTTGCCTGTAGGTGTTCAATTGTACAGTTTTTCCTTTTTTTAAATTTATAATTAGTTATTTTATTTTAATTATGAAAATAAATCTACAAAATTTCATCCACAATTTTTAAGTGTTTTTAAGTGTTTTTAGTATTTCTTATTAAGGCACGTTTATATGATTTCAACGGTTTTAACAAATTAATTTATTAATTTTTATGTCCTAGATATGCATGGATTTCGCCATGAATTTTTTATTTATTGGCTCACATCAATTTCACTTAATTAATTTCGAATACACTTTCAATTAAAACTGCTTTAAACATTTTATAGTTTTTTGCTACTAATTTTAATTAAAATAATTTTTATATTGTGTTCACACAAGAAATCCACTACATACACAACCACTCACACCGACAACTTGCCAGCAACTGAACTGTTACTCAGCTGTGCGCCGCTATTTCAATGAATAAATTGCCTGCGGCCGTATGCTGCTCGGTGATCCCCAGTCAACAACAAATATTGTCGTTCGTTCGGGTATTCCTAATTCCACTACTACAACTGCTGCTGCTGCTTCTTGTTTGGCTGCCTTTGCTTTGCCACTAACGCTACTGCGCTGCTATTGCGTTTGATAATGCCACAATTTGGTTTTGTTGAATATTTTTTCTCGAATGGCTTGTTGTGCGTTGCTGTCATCTGCTTCCGTTGGCCTCACTTTGATGTCTGCTGCTCCAGAAATTCTGTTACAAGTGAAATCATACACTTGCTTATTTAGAATCGTGTACTTCTGTGACTGTCTGTTCGGGCTTAGTTCGTGCGCTTTCGTATTTCGTTAACACATTTTTTTATTCGTGACTATTTTTTATGAAACATGCGCTCAAGTTAAGTTATGCATACTTCGTGCTCCACATCGCTTATGTGTGTGTTTATTAGTTGTGTTGTTATTGTTGTTGTTGTCGTCGTGTTGTGTTGTGTGGTGCTAATAAATGATTGTACCCCATTTAATGTTAAATGTTTTCAGTTTACACGAAGGCGCAGAACGAACTGCAGTCGTGCGAAACTGAAATGGTTCTGTTCGGTCGTTTTGGCCGAGTTGAGGCGACATGGGCCTTGAAGCCTTATGCCAATGCTGGTATAAGGAATTAACCGTATGCCAGAAGGGGAAATGAAAAGCGCTTTTCAGAAAAACATGGCGTATAAGAGATTTTATGTGCATGGAGAAATTTCGATGTACGTGTAGCAGCGCATGTCGGTCGATTGTGCACACGAGTTACGAATTTAATTTTATTTTTGTTTTTGTTTCGCAGATTGTAATTGAAGCGCCATGAATACTGTTATATCCCGGCCATAAAACATAACGCTATGTTATTCAGCGTTACTTAACACACTGTCAGCGCTTTGTGATTTTCTTTGCAGACTTTGTTGTTGTGTTTTCTTTTGTGGGATTTCCTTTTATAAGCCATTTCAGCAGAAGTTTACGGCTCGTGTTATTCTTATGCGTTGGCAGGCAGCTGCTGTTGCGACTAACATTTCACTAGCAGGTCCTGGAAAGCTTCTTGCATTCAATTTCTTCGTGCCTCCATTTTGGCGGGGTCTACACAGCGTTCTTTTTGCTTTTTTGTTTTTGCTTTTTCGTATGTTATTTGTGCTAAATTGTTGCGTGTAAATAATGTTAAAGTCAAGCATTGAGGTTATCATTGCTGGTCTACAAAATGGTGACAACAGCGAGCAGCTTGCCAAAATTTTCGAACTTTTTTCACAGCATTCCAACATTTTTTTAGCTTTCATTACAACGAATCCAAAGCCCAAACGGTTCACTTTACAAGGAATATGAAAACTGAATGTGGAAACACTTCATTTCAATTTGCATGCCGAATTCTTCAGCTACAATGTCAAAGTTTTTTCACTGAAGTTGCCAACTATGTTAGCATATCAGGATATCAGAAAAGCAGCAGGACATTTTATGTAATAGCGCTTAATTTTATTACATATTCCCAAAAAATGAGGAGAAATTCGTGTCTAAATTAGAGCACAAGTACGACAGCGACAAACAAACATGTACGGAAAGAAACTGACTGCTTCAAATTAAAAAAAAAAAACTGAATAAAGTAATAACTCACATAAAAAGCTTTCATAAAAAAAATAAAAAAAAATTAACTAGTAATGAAAATGTTTTTAACATAGATTTTTAATCTATTAAGTTTACTCCTTACTCCTTTAAAGAATTAAAATAATCGCTCTGCACTGTGCTAAAAAACATAACTAGCCAGTCTTACAACATATCAAAGGACATTGTTCGTCATCATTGGATTAGTGAGATAAGTTGGCAGAAGCAGCAGTAGAATAACTAATATTACACAATGAGTATTATTCAGTTAGAGGTAGTTATGACTGACCATGATAAGATGCTATCGACTGGATTATTCTTTTATGATGAAGATACGGGTAGTTGTGAAAAGTCTTGGTGATCTAAGTTTTAACACGTTGAATCACTTTTTAACTAACCTGCCCATGAGATTCTTTGTTCTTATCTTCAACAAAGAAGCAGCGAGCACATTATATTCGTCAGACTTCATCAGATTTTTTGCGGTTTTTCAGATGTCCAAAAGAAATCTCTATGTGAGAGTCCCGTGGGGAAACTCATTGGTGTTACAAAAACCAGATATATAGTTTATGATAAGAGTCGGACCCGGGTTTTATTTAAGAAATCTTTTGTTTATTTGTCGCATATATAAAAAAAATAAAGACTTTTTTCATTATTTTAAAGCTTGAGAAAGGATTTTATAGGATACGAACAAAGTTTTAGGTGCAATAACGGTAGCCAGAGCAACTAATTCATATAGATAAAACCCAAATATTTGTTAGATAAGACTTTGTTGATTCTCTATTTTCTACCCACCTATATTAAAACTGTCATGAAGAAAGGTTAAACCCTCTCCTAATGAGGGATCTGACTATCAAGTGTCTCTAAATGGAAACTTGACATTAAATTTCTTGTTAAAATTGAGTATGTGAGAGATGCAGTCAATATTTTTTGGAATAGGATTGAAAAGATTGGAACTATAGCATTAAGTCTAATAGCAGGTGATGATGCATTTGTTTACTTATCAGATGAAATGACATTAAGTGAAGCATTAAGTCCCACATAATGGATGGTGTGCCCCACTAATACAGAGTTTAGCTCCATGCTACTCTCTGTTGAATACTATACTATACTATAGACTATCTAATTAAGCCAGTTCACTATATTATGATGCCGTTCAATAGTCTTATGACAGCTGCTCCACCTCCACTTTTTAACAATAGCATTGATTTTTGCATTGAAGATATTTTATCTTTTTGAATGGTGTGGGAAATTGTTTTGTTTTCAACTAAGTTCTCTTTTAAAAACAATACCTAAAAACTTAGATTATTCCATAAATTGAAGCAAACAAGCTCTAAAAAATATATTCAACAACACAAAAGATTTGACAGAAGTAGAGGTCCAATTAATTGAAAATCAATTATGATAATTATATGGGCTATATAATTATATATACAATAGAAAATTGTGTAAACCAAAGCTGCAAACTGATTCTAACCTGAACCAAGATCCTCTGATCTTTTGATGTGATTAAGCCCAACTACATAATGAACTATTGTGGTTATATTAAGGAACTGAAATCGAACTGAAAAAATGATTAGGCTGTAGGCTGTTGATTGCCTTGACAAAAATAAAATAATTTTGATTTTATCTTTTAAAATAAATAAGTTAAGTATCAATAAAAAAACAGTTTGGTGATATACATAGAACATCATTTTAATACACCCAGATAGGATGATATGGAAAATTTTTTAGCTGTGTGTACGTAGATTAGTGGACATAAATTTTTTGTTTTGGTACGACTGTTAATGATAAAATACAAGGCACTTTTTTATATATCTCTATGAAATTGAAATTTAATAGAGTTCTATTCTAAAACTGTAGTTGATAATTAATTAGCTTTTCTAAAGTAACATTTTAAAAAATTAAAAAATAATTGTTCTTAGACGAATTTGTTAAAAAATGTTTGTGATATTTTTTTCATCGCCTCTATAGAAAATGCTGTAGATTATTATACCAATTTCACGTAATTAGTTTTCCAAATAAATATGAGAACATTTTATGTATTTAACAGTATTTTCTGTTAGTTCCTTTAGATTTCTATGCGTCCTGTTCACTTTAATGTACTAGTTAAAAAGTTTAATAAACACTAGAGCTCAACTGCTGTAATTAATCATATTTTGCTCGTACAGAATCGTTCTGTACATGAAGTTTGTTGTTTTTGAATCCTTAGTAATGTTGTTGTTGTTGTTGGTGCTGCAGGAGAGTTACCAGAACCATTTGAAATGATTGCTTAACTTTTACCCACGCTTAAATGTCACTTTTCACTAAACTTTCGGAAATCAAAGAAGATTTGACACATGACTGCAATGAAGTTTTACGAAAATAAACAAAAAAATGAAAAAGTATAGAAAAACTCACTTAAAAAAGTTTGACCGAAAGGCTAACAAAATAATACAAAAAGGACTTGCGTTCGCATGTGAGCAGGACACTCATGCACATGCGGACAACTGATATCACTTACACACATACGTAGTAGCTTAATTTTAAAATGTACAAGTTCAATTTATTTAACCAACTAAACAACCAACGAATGAACAGTCAAAGCCACAAGGATGAAGGACTAAGTTTTTGGTTAGGTTACCAAAAAATACAAAGCAAAACGGTAGAAACGACAAAAAGTTTGGGGAAGGGAGGAACTAAAATAAAAAAAATTTAAGCATTCTGCAAACAAACATTTATGTGTCTCTGGGTATCTGAGATCACACACACTATAATCGCAGAGTTGAAAGTATGCAGAAAAAATAAGTAAAACAAAACCGGAAAGAACTTATATTTTGATTGTTCCTGACAGGAAACGGAAAAATAAACTTTTGCAACAAAAAATATGTGAAGCTACTGTTGCAACACTGCCGGGGTATGGATAGAAAAGGGTTGAGCCGAATTCAGCCAAAACTGAGAAAAAAGGATGAAATAGCGAAAACGTTAAAGTTTATAAAACAACGAGCTCAGGACTTTCATTTTCTTTAGTTTTCGCTTCCTTTGAATTTTTTTCTTAATACCTTAATTTTTGGTTATTCCTACGTTGACGGTAGAATACTCTTGGATTGCAAATTGCTTATACCGATTTTAAAAAGCCCTCGCGGAGCTTTATTATCTTTAACTTGCGTTTAAGTTTCCATTTTTTGCGTGATGGTCCTTAAAGTATCTAAAAGGAACTTGGAGACATATTGAATATTTTTCGAAATATTCCAAAAGAAACTAAAAAAAAGTTCTTTTCTATTATACATGCGAGACATATGCATAGAACATTATGTTATGGCAGTGCTGTCGGCACATATTTGTGTAAAGTTGGCAGTGCCTTTTACTGATAAAAAGATTTCTTTGAGAAAAAGATATTCGTTCGTGACATTTACAATTTCTGTAAGTAAAAATACAAAAAATATTTGAAAGTTCTAAGTTTCAAGTTCACTTATTTATGATTTCTTTTTCTTTGTTAATTTAAAAATAGATTTTATAGAAACTTTTTTGTACTAAGATAAGCGACTTTGATTGAACTATTTAAAAGAATTCTTTACTTATTTCAATACAATATATTTGCCAGGATTTCGCATTTCCAAAAGACCAGAAGTAAATTTAAATTATTTACAGCCTGGCAGCACATAGGTTGGTTTGGATTGCCTGATATCTACACTATGGTATATCAGCATCGTTCACAACGTACGTCTTATATAGGCCCCTGGTCATAACAATATTATACAAAAGTATGGGGTCGACACACTGGCAAGCGGTTGACTAATCCTCTTTTCGATATCTGAACTTAGAACATCTATCTTTACATGTAAGTTATTATTGAAGAACAGTTCCATACGAAAGGCTAATTTGTGCTCGTCAAACGAAGACACAGGTGTGGTTTCTACTTTAATGTGGTACCTTGATAGAAAAAAATATTCTAAATCAACAAA